ATCATTTAATTACATACATAATCAATTCATAGACACGTTCATTTTTGAAGACAATTAATTTACTGACAGTTTATTTTTTTTTAGATAGTTTATTTTACAGACAATTTATTTCATAGAAAATCTTTAACAGTAAATAACTCATGTTCCATTAGTCCTTTTTGGATAATTTAATTACTAAACGATTGACTTGATGAGATGATTATTTTAGTAATCAAATTATTCAAAATAGATTAGTAGATTAGAAATTATTCGCTGTTAAAGATTATTTATAAAATAGCTGTATGTAAAATAAACTGCCCATAAAATTAACTGTCTGTAAATTAATTCTTATCTGCTTATGAGACTGCGAAATTGCATTTCTTTTTTTTTTTTTCTGTAACGATATTTGCTAAAATCATCTCTCAATAATCAGGTGAATGCAATTAATTGTAATGTGACAATCTGCAAAATTTGTTCATTCACGATAGAGATGGGCAAAATGCTACTTTTCTATACAATACATGCGCATTGTATGCCGCATGCATGCATAAAAGGGGAAACGTACCCGATCCATACTGTGAGGGATTATATTTGTATCATTGGTGGGTAAGTGACCTTTCGTTGTGGAATGTGCTGCACACCAGGTGTGGGATTAAGTCTGGATCAGGCACGTTTCCTCCTGTTTGCATGCGTGTTATATATAGCGCAGTTAAAAATATATACAATCTTTAATAATGAATAACTTGATGATTTTACCACCAAAATGACCTCTCGATGAGACGATTTCAACGAGTCTAAAATCGATAAAATCCAATCACAGGATCTCGAGATTGTCAAGGTGACCCGGATACTGAGTAATATTCCAGACTCTTCATATATGTACGTACAAGAGTTAAACACTTGTTTGATTATCCAATCAGATTCAGGGACCAACGGGTGACCCGTTTATTAAACCGATTTGCAAAAAACATGCCAGGTTGGTAATTTTTTCGGGCTGGATTAGGATTATCAAATATACGGTTGCCCGGATCAGAGTTGGATACTAATCTTGTATGGGCATATTAATTTAAAATTTCTTAGACCATGCTTATGATGCCCATCTCTAGTTCGCGATAACTGACATGGCATGTATCGTTAATTAATATAAACTATTAAATATATCATTTTTGAAATCTAAATAACATTTATATTAATTTCTAGCACAGCGATGAAAAATAATCATATATTATTACTAATGTAGAGCTATTAAAAATAATCCGAAGCAAAGTCGACGAACATGTAATTGCATGAAATTTTCTTATGTGTACGATATGTGCACGAAATAATGAACGGCTCATACGTAACTATACTGGAAATTGCACGGTAAAGCATGTAAAAAAGTACGCTATTACGTGTACTGTTGCGTTTTTTTACATATCTAGCGCTAGGGTATGTTTTGAAAATCGACTTAGCCGAATGTTAGTAAATATCGATCAAAAAAATCTAAATCGTCTATATAAAAAAAAATCAACCCAATTTCCGCTCATTATTCAACCTCTAATATTTTTATAGCAATTCGGAGGGGAATTGGCATCTGATTTTAGGTCGATCATTGGGAAAATCATATCGGCGCAGTGGATTTGCAGAATTGAGAGTCCCTGGATTTAACAATACGTAATAATAATATGCAGGGGTTTGTTTTACAACTATATTGTTGAAATCTGATACAATAATGCGATCATTTTTTTTTGTCGTTTTTTTTTTAATCTTTTTTTTTCGTTTTTCTTTATTTTTTTTACTGGATCGATATCAGTATATACTGATATATACTTATTTTTTTTTTTTAGCTTTTTTTTCATTTGTCTTTCTTTTTACTAATCTGTTTACCTTTTCTTTTATTAGTGTTTTCTTGATGATGTTTCTAGTTCTTCACGTCATTATAGTTTCTTGGTACAGTACTAGTCTAGTTTCTTGATGTTCTGGTTTTTTGATGTCGCTCTAGTTATTTAGTATTCTGGTTTTTTCATATCGCTCTAGTTTCTTGGTATTAGTATAGTTATTTAGAATTGATAGTATCATAATAGTTGTATATAATTATATATTTTTAATAAAAAAAAAAATATAAATTAATATTTTATTTATTATATAATCTTATTTGTGAAAATTTTTTGCGAACTTGTATACTTTGTACCAAATATTTTTTCAATTATAATTTTTCTAACAAGTTGTGCGCCTGCCCATGCGCTGGGAGTTTTTTTTATCGTATTGGCCAATCATGTTTCGAGTTCAGGCGAAGCAAATCATTTCATTTTTTTAATGCGATAGAAATATAATTTTTTTTTTTTTGTGGGTCAAGGCGGTTGGTTTGTTAATAATGAAAGTTGATTTTATGTTCGATTTATGAATGTAAAGCTCAAGTCTGATTGATACGTTTAAAAATAACGGGAATATGTTGGGGTTGCTTAGTATTTTTTTTTAGTTTGGCGGTAATTTAATGAGCAGGATTTTTCGAATATGCCTGAAGGTTTTTTTAGTTGAATTTTGGTGTAGTTATTGTTATTTGTGGTTATCAGGCTTTCTGATGAGGCTTTTCTTTATCGATTGCACATATGGTAGAGGGTCTATTATGGTATTTTTACCGGTTAAAGATTCGTTTCATCTAAATTTTGATGATGCGATGTATATGTTTTTTTTTT